CCTCCCCCCCCACCTCCCCCACCTCCTCCCCCCCCAGCGCCACCACCACCACCCTTGCCCCCCTTGCCCTTGCCGGTGCGGCGCCTCCCACCAGGAGCAGAAGCAGCGCCAACAGACTCAGCACCAAGGAAGTCAACAGCAGCAGCAGCAGCGTAGGAGGGAGCGAGGGGAGAGGGAGAACACCCCTCAAAGATGGGGGTGCGAGGAGCGCCACGAGCAGCACCGACAGCTACAATGCTCTTTTCGGCCGCGAGCAGCTGCTCCTCTAGGAGGGTGACTGTGAGCTCAGTGGGACAGCGAGCAAGGAAGTGGTCTCGAACTGAGCTGAGGGTGTCAGGGAGACGGGTGACTATGAAGTGGAGTGTCCAGTACAGTGGAGGGGGGTTCTTAGCGCAGAACTCGGTGGGAAGGGCGGCACGCAGGCGAGCATCACTAGTGCGAAGGTGGGTGATAAGATCGGCGACTGTAGCAAAGGTGGACAGATCGGGGAACAGGTACGGCAGCATGAGGCGGCTAAGCTCGGCTGTGGCAGGCGAAGAGTAGCGAGCAACGACAGCATCGTACAGGGCCTTAGCGGATTTGCAGTCGCCAAAATGCTCGAGCTCAGCTAGCGGCAGGTGACTGCGAATGGCTAGGCGAGCAGCTGCGTCACGAGTCTGCCAGTGGGAACGAACACTAAGCTCGGCTGTGGCAGCAGGAGCAGCGGCAGCACCAGACGCATAGTCATAGAGGGAGATGTGGTCCGTGCTATTGCTCATAAGATACAACTGCAGGTCGTCGAGCCAGGAAGTGAACTGCACGGGACGGCCCTCAGCATCGAAGGAAAGAACGCGAATAGAGGCCATAGCTCAGGCGTGAGGGCACAGCAGAGCAGCGGCAGCAGCAGAGGGGACGCGCTAGAGCGAAGCTAGCAGCCACAGCAGGAGCAAGCAGCGGTGCACAGGCAGGTAAGTGCGGCGGGCGGGCTGCAAGTGAGCGGGCGACGCTGCGAAGCGGGCAGCGGGCGAGCGGGCGACACTGCGAGCGGGCAGCAAGCGGGCGGGCGACGCTGCGAAGCAGGTAGCGGGCGGGCGGGCGGCGCTGCGAGCGGGCAGCGAAGCGGGCGGGCCGCGAAGCGGGCAGCGAGCGGGCGGGCGGGCTGCGAAGCGGGCAGCGGGGCGAGCGGGCTGCGAAGCGGGCGGGCCGCGAAGCGGGCAGCGAGCGGGCGGGCTGCGAAGCGGGTGTGGGCCGCGAAGCGGGCAGCGAGCGGGCGGGCGGGCTGCGAAGCGGGCAGCGGGGCGAGCGGGCTGCGAAGCGGGCGGGCCGCGAAGCGGGCAGCGAGCGGGCGGGCGGGCTGCGAAGCGGGCGGGCCGCGAAGCGGGCAGCGAGCGGGCGGGCGGGCTGCGAAGCGGGCGGGCCGCGAAGCGGGCAGCGGGCGGGCGGGCTGCGAAGCGGGCAGCGGGGCGAGCGGGCTGCGAAGCGGGCGGGCCGCGAAGCGGGCAGCGAGCGGGCGGCTCGGCGGGCGGGCGACACTGCAAGGGGCGCGCGAGGGCGCTAGTGAGGGGCGCGCGAGGGCGCTAGCAAGGGGCGCACGAGGGCGCTAACGAGGGGCGCGCGAGGGCGCTAACGAGGGTGCGCGCGAGGGCGCTAACGAGGGGCGCGCGAGGGCGCTAACGAGGGCGCACGAGGGCGCTACGAGGCTAGGGCACGGGGTAGCGTGGTAACCGCATGCGAGCGGTGGTGGGCCCTTAAAAAAAAAAAAAACGGTCGGTAGGTCCTAGGGACCTCCTGCTCTGAATACCATATCAAGAGAACTAGGCAAGAATGAATGAACTAGCAGAAGTTTTGGGTACAAATATGAAACCCTAGTTGGGGTTGTACCCCATATTGGCTACCCCACTACAGCCTACAAGCATAATACAGTTTAACACATTTAATTGCCACTTTTGTGCCCCAACATTGTGCAGCAGCAAATGACTGCCAAGTCAACACAATGAATGCATCTCTCAAATTATCATTACCTCCATGGTGCAATCCAATGGTTTCACCTGCTACCTAGGATGCTGGTGTTAAGATAGTAGCTAGAGGTGAGGAGCCATGCTAGGGTGAAGAGGAGAAAGTGACGAGAGAGTTTAGGCAAGGAAAGAGAGGGGTTTCACTATAGCACACAAGGTACATATAGCAAAGTAACAAAGAAGGTGCACCACCAACTCTTAATAATAATAACTACAGTACCTACAGCACGCAGGGTATATATTAAACATATTGTTTGACACACCCCCTTAGCCTGCGTGCGGTAGAAACTGGTGCAGCCAGCACCCCCTGAACGAGCAAACCAAGCGCTGTGGAAGAAGGCAGAGAAGTGAGGAAGGTGAGAGGAGAGGAGAGAAGAGGAGAGGAGAGGAGAGGAGAGGAGGTGGGGGGCCAGGACCGGCGGACCCGCTTACGAACCTCCTTTTACAAAGGGGAGGTGAGAGAGGGAAGGGAGAGGAGGTGGGCTAGGCGGGCTTGAGCGCGAAAGCTCATAGCGATCCCCCCCCGTTAAGAACCCCCAAGTCCCGATGAGGAGAGGAGGTGGGCTAGGCGGGCATGAGCGCGCACGCTCAATGCGATCCCCCCCCGTTAAGAACCCCCTAGTCCTCACCCCCTCGTCACTCAACCCCGTCAACCTCACACCTTCCGCACCTGTCTTCTCCCGCCACCCCCTCACCCTTCTGCACTTCTCTCCCCCCCCCCCCCTTACAGCAACAGTTGCTGCAGGGAGAGAGGAAGAGGGAAGGGAGGGAGGAGTGGCAGGCTCCTCACACCCGCCCCCCCCCCCCCCCCCCCCCTACAGCAACAAGTGCTGCAGGGAGAGAGGAAGAGGGAAGGGAGGGAGGAGGTGCTGGCTCCTCACAACCTCACACCCGCCACCCCCACATCTCCCCCTCCTCCCCCCCCCCCCCCAACGACGGAAGCAGTGGATGGGAGGGCGGGCGGGAGGGGGCAGGGCGGCGGTAGCTGCTACTGGCGCTGGCGGTAGCTGCTGCTGGCGCTGGCGGTAGCTGCTGCTGGCGCTGGCGGTGGCGGCTGGCCGCGGTGGTGGCGTCCGCGCTGACGGGCCACGCTGGCGGCGGCGCCTGCGGTCCGGGCTGGCGCGGGCGCTGGCGACGGAACGGGGGGCCGCGAGGCGACGAAACGGGGTTCGCGGACGACGGGAAGGGGTGCGCCCCGACGACGGAACGCAGGGCGCCGCGGCGACGGAACACGGGGCGCCGCGGCGACGGGAACCGGGCGCCGCGACGACGGAAAGCGGGCGCCGCGGCTACGGGAACGCGGGGCGCCGCGGCGACGGGAATTAGGCGCCACGGCGAACGGGAAAAAAAAAAAAAAAATAGCGCGTTTCGCGCTGTAGTACGGGCGGGCCCATGATTCTTAAAAAAAAAGAGAAGGTTCCGGGAAAGAACCAGCTCTGTACCATGTTAAGATAGTAGCTAGAGGTGAGGAGCCATGCTAGGGTGAAGAGGAGAAAGTGACGAGAGAGTTTAGGCAAGGAAAGAGAGGGGTTTCACTATAGCACACAAGGTACATATAGCAAAGTAACAAAGAAGGTGCACCACCAACTCTTAATAATAATAACTACAGTACCTACAGCACGCAGGGTATATATTAAACATATTGTTTGACAGCTGGATGCTTCCACAATTTCTAGGTTCTCACCACCACAATGGTCCGTGGAGTGGACAGGTCCAGTGGTGCCGCAATGCGTCAGTACGCTGAGCTATTCAGATACGGTAGCATTTATTCAGTACTGTTGAGAATATGTTTGTATGCATTTATTATAAGCGCACTGTTCGAAGTGTGCTTACAGGGGCTCGCCATAGCGAGGGATTTGAACCTGGTGGCGAGTCAACGGGGCGCAACCGAGCACAGCGGTTGCGACCCGCGTGGCAGTTCAAGAGTCGAATCGACAGCAGGAGGCAGCATCTACAGTACGTGGAACTGTCCTGCAGGGCGCGACTGAATACCGCGCCCTTGCCGAAGCTGAACAGTCGCGCCAGCGCGACTGTAACAGGGCAACTGAATCGTTACAGCAGTTGCGCCTTGGTAACTGCCTGCCTCGTATGTTTCCAATATAACTGAATGTATTGCATGTCTCTCATTACACAATTCTCAAGCTTGTGTCCGGCCTAGCCTTGGCCGCCGTTCTGGCACCAAGTTACAAGCTAGGAGAGCTACCTCTGAGTGACCATTGCCCCGCCGTAGGGACGTCGTTATCTTCCTAGAGCTTCCGCTGCGCTCTAGCGACTTCTTGTTTCCAACAAATACTACCCCTGGATATGGTCTTTCCCCGGGCTATACTAATGTTGCTACATGCTTTGCTCAAGGATGGTAGCTTTTAAACTTGACGATACTTGGTTTCAGTAGTGGTTTTGTTAGCACCCTGTAGTCCGAAATACAATGAACCACCATTTACAATTTGGCAGAGGTACTGGCAATCATAGTGGACGTAACGCCATCTCTCTGATGACAAGTATTTTGATGACAAGTCTATGCACAAGGTTATGATTTATAACGCAAAATGTTCTGAAAACTAACGCAAGATGTCTCCGGTCATGCCACATTATTTTCCACTGCACCCTTCAGCCAGCCATGATGCGCTGACTAACCCACAAGAGGGTAGGGGTACAGCAGAAATCGATGTTTGGGCGGCTGAACACCGAATCCATGCAGCGGCGGTCATGGTTGGTTGCCTGAGTTGCCACCCAATTATTCACAACCCTAAATTCTACATTCTAAACGTCGAAAACAAAAGGTGATCAAAGACGAATCACATAGATTATGCAGAGAGGTTTGAGGAAGAAGAGGATGATGAGAAGGGGCCCTCAGCGTTGGTGGATATTTACCACACATGACAAAGGACCGAAGTCCAGCGCCTTTCAGAGTGTGTAACAAATGTAACCGTCACTGGGCCAGGAATAAAAGGAGCAGGAACACAACACAAGCAAAAAGAAAAACGGGAAAGTCACACCAGCACGGGACTATAAAAGACCCACGCAGACGTCAGTCACAAGAGACTGGCCCTCAGAGACTGGATATTAACCACACAGGATAACGAACCGAAGTCCAGGATCCGTTCAGAGAGTGTGTAACAAATCGGATCGTCACCGGGACAGCCATGGAACAGTAGAACGAGAAGAAAATTCAGGAAAAAAGAGGGCCAAACGGGATGGAGGGGGACTGTTGATGGAACAGGTTCACGTCAAAATTCAAAATTCACATTACGAGTTCGAAACAAAGAGCCAGCAAGAAGCATCCACGTGGCTAAGCCTCGCAAATCAGGCAGACACTAACAGGTGGATCGAGCAGAAGCATCATGCTACAACCCTCTCATCAGGCCTAACCCCGAATCTCGCACTCGGCTCAGTTGTCGCCATACTTCGCAGGACATTCGCAGTGCACCTCGATCGGATCCTCACATAATTTCGGAGTCCTGCTTCCGCGTCAAAGCACAGGTGAGAATCCTCGGCGCATGTCACGCTTACTTGGATCTCTGTCTCATCTTTCTTCTTTTGCGCTTCAACCGCCGCATACGCTTTTTCTTCCACTGCAAAACACATGTAGTAACATAGGAATCAGTATCGCTCAACTAACTCGAAATACGGCAACGTTTGAACTGAAAAGCATATCACACGCATCAAGGGACGAAAGGTAGAACGAGGAGCTTCTGAAAACAATAAGCCTAAAGCGCCGTAAGTAACTGTGCTAAGGGAACGAAGGGGCCGGCTGGGAAAAGATGACTCTACCTTAGCTCTCATGGTTGCTGGTTGCTGTAACTCGGAGAATGAGAAAGAGCACTGCAAGAAGAATATGAGGGTTCGAGTTGAGTGAGGCGAGCAGGGAGCCGGGGAGATGGGGGGACTGCAGGCGGGGTGGGGGGAATGGGTTGCGCGGAGGAATCGGGGGAATGGGGCGGGGGGACAGCTGTCGGGGGAGGGGGAATGGGTTGCGGGAGGGAGAAAGCTAGGAAGTAGGGGAAGTACGGGGGCGCAGCAATGCAGAAGGCAGCTTTGGTGGCGCCGTCGAAGCTTGTGGTGCACCACCATCGAGTACGCTTTAGATAGATTTGCTGATGTGTGAAACAGATGGAGCATGACTCGCGAAGAAAATATCTCGCTAGTACGAAAGCATTTCGTAAATTACTGTAGCCAATAATGCACATGCAGGTTCTAGTATATTTTATGTGGATAGAGAGACCTCTGGACCTGCAACGTGGTCACAATAATTTGAGGGGATGGTTTGATGGGGTTTCAATTGTGTGTGCTATTGGGGTTTTCTTGATGTTGTGCCTTGTGTTTTTTCTTCCTTTTTCCCAGTTTTTCTTCCTCCTACCATTTTCTCCCTATTCCCTTCCTTCTTTCTTCTTCTTTCCTTTTTTCTCCTCACGTTATTCCTCCTTTCCTCTTCTCTTCCTGTTCCCACTCAATTTCCTTTCTTCTTTCCTTCGATGCTGAGGGCCGTCCCGTGCAGTTCACTTCCTGGCTCGACGACCTGCAGTTGTATCTTATGAGCAATAGCACGGACCACATCTCCCTCTATGACTATGCGTCTGGTGCTGCCGCTGCTCCTGCTGCCACAGCCGAGCTTAGTGTTCGTTCCCACTGGCAGACTCGTGACGCAGCTGCTCGCCTAGCCATTCGCAGTCACCTGCCGCTAGCTGAGCTCGAGCATTTTGGCGACTGCAAATCCGCTAAGGCCCTGTACGATGCTGTCGTTGCTCGCTACTCTTCGCCTGCCACAGCCGAGCTTAGCCGCCTCATGCTGCCGTACCTGTTCCCCGATCTGTCCACCTTTGCTACAGTCGCCGATCTTATCACCCACCTTCGCACTAGTGATGCTCGCCTGCGTGCCGCCCTTCCCACCGAGTTCTGCGCTAAGAACCCCCCTCCACTGTACTGGACACTCCACTTCATAGTCACCCGTCTCCCTGACACCCTCAGCTCAGTTCGAGACCACTTCCTTGCTCGCTGTCCCACTGAGCTCACAGTCACCCTCCTAGAGGAGCAGCTGCTCGCGGCCGAAAAGAGCATTGTAGCTGTCGGTGCTGCTCGTGGCGCTCCTCGCACCCCCATCTTTGAGGGGTGTTCTCCCTCTCCCCTCGCTCCCTCCTACGCTGCTGCTGCTGCTGTTGACTTCCTTGGTGCTGAGTCTGTTGGCGCTGCTTCTGCTCCTGGTGGGAGGCGCCGCACCGGCAAGGGCAAGGGGGGCAAGGGTGGTGGTGGTGGCGCTGGGGGGGGAGGAGGTGGGGGAGGTGGGGGGGGAGGCGGTGCTGGAGGGAGCGGTGGCGGGAGCGCTGGTGGGAGTGGGGTCGGTGGTGGAGGCGGGGGCGGCGGAGGAAGCAGTGGCAGTAGTGGCGGCGGCGGCGGTGGCGGCGGTGGCGGTGGTGGCGGTGGTGGCGGTGGCGGTCGTAGCGGTGGTAGTGGTGGCGGCGGAGGTCGGAGTGGAGGCACTGGCTCGGGCCAGAGCTCCCAGCAGCAGCAGCGTCCCCAGACGACCCAGCAGCTTCGTGAGTGGCTTGCTCAGCGTGGGACGTCGGGGGGCAGTGGCCGCTGTTCTTATGTCATTCGCACAGGTGACCGCAAGGGACAGACGTGTGGGAGGTTCCACACCCCGTACCGCTGCTTCTCCCGCCTTGACGACGCTTGGCGTGAGGAGATGGGTGCGGATGTTGAGCGCCCCCGCTGGGCTGAGCTCATGAGGGCTGGTGTTGATGTCTTTGCTCTTGACTTTGATGCTATTATTGCTGCCATGTATGCATTGACTGTTAGTGCCGAGGGAGACTGTTACTTGTGTGTGCCGCCTGACCCAGGTATAGAGCCCGCTGCCCTGGGTACTAGTGAGTCTGCTCTCTCTGGTATGGTGCCCCCTGTACTTGCTCCCTCCAGTGCTGTCCCGGCTGTTTTCGAGTCTGCTCTCTCAGGTACAGCACCCACAGAGACTGCTCTCTCAGGTACCGCACCGGCTGAGGCCTGTCACACCTTCACCCTTGACTCAGGTGCTTCCCGTTGCTTCTTTCGTGACAGTACTGAGCTCACACCGCTTCCTGCACCGGTCCCAGTCTCCTTGGCTGACCCCTCTGGGGGCCCAGTCCTTGCCCAGTCCACCACTGTCCTCCCTTGTCCGGCGGCTCCGTCTGGCTCGTTGTCGGGTTTCCACCTCCCCTCGTTCTCGACGAACCTGGTGAGCAACGCTGTCCTCCAGGATCAGTGGGTTGACACCTTTACCCCTGGAGGACAGCGTGTGGCGATCTGCACGTGCTCCAGGACCGGCCGTCACCTGGCTACGTTTACCCGTCGGCCGGGGTCGAGTCTCTACACACTGACCACTGCGTCTCCTCAGGTCGCTGCTGTCGGTCAGGTGTCTGCGTCAGGTCTGGTAGGCCACGCCTGTGGGTTTCGTTCCCTGTCGCACCAGACTCTTCTCTGGCACCACCGCCTGGGTCACCCCTCCTTGCCACGCCTTCGTGGCATGCACCGTCGCCACCTTGTGTCTGGTCTTCCCAGGTCCCTCCCTCCCCTCCCTGCCTCTCCTGCGCCGCCTTGCCTTCCTTGCGTCGAGGGGCGGCAGCGCGCCGCTCCTCACTCCTCCTCGTTCCCCCCGACAGAGGCTCCTCTGCAGACCCTCCACCTGGACGTGTGGGGCCCAGCCCGCGTTCGTGGTCAGGGCGGTGAGCGGTACTTTTTGCTGGTTGTCGACGACTACTCGCGTTACACCACGGTCTTCCCCTTGCGCACCAAGGGTGAGGTCCCTGCTGTTCTGATCCCTTGGATCCGCACAGTTCGTCTCCAGCTCCGCCGCCGTTTCCGGACGGATCTTCCTGTCCTGCGTCTGCACTCTGACAGAGGTGGTGAGTTCTCCTCCGATCTCTTGAGGACCTTCTGTCAGGCGGAGGGCATCGAGCAGACCTTCACGCTTCCGGACTCCCCACAGCAGAATGGGGTTGCTGAGCGCCGCATTGGTCTGGTCATGGAGGTCGCTCGTACCTCCTTGGTCCACGCGGCGGCTCCCCATTTTCTGTGGCCGTTTGCTGTCCGGTACGCCGCGCATCAGCTCAACCTCTGGCCCCGTGTCTCCTTGCCGGAGACCTCGCCCACACTGCGTTGGACGGGGGAGGTTGGCGATGCGTCGCGCTTCCGGGTGTGGGGTGCTCGTGCCCTTGTCCGCGATACGTCCGCGGACAAGCTCTCCTCCCGCACGCTTCCCTGTGTCTTCCTTGGCTTTGTCCCTGACGCGCCTGGCTGGCAGTTTTACCACCCCACCTCGCGCCGGGTCTTCGCCTCTCAGGATGTCACCTTTGACGAGTCGGTCCCTTTTTACCGTCTCTTCCCCTACCGCACTGCCCCCCTCCCTCCCCCGCCGCTTTTCCTTGCTCCTGGTCCCCCTCCGGTAGACCCCCTTCCCCCTCAGGGTCCTGCTCCTTCAGGTGTCTCTCAGGTAGACCCTCCTCCCGTCGCTGAGCCTGTCGAGGTCACAGGTGACTCAGGTGCTGCTGCAGGTGGTACTGCTGGGAGTGCTGAGCCTGGGGGTGCTGAGCCTGCGGGTGCTGGGCCTGGGAGTGCTGGGACTGCGGGTGCTGGAGCTGGGGGTGCTGAGCCTGGGGGTGCTGCGCCTGGGGGTGCTGCGCCTGGGGGTGCTGCGACTGGGGGTGCTGAGCCTGCGTGTGCGGAGTCTGGGGGTGCTGAGTCTGGGGGTGCTGCGCCTGCGGGTACTGAGCCTGGGGGTGCTGCTACTGAGCCTACGGAGCCTCGGGTTGCTGTGTCTGGGGGTGCTCCGGTTCGGGGTGCTGAGCAGTCTCTCACACCGCAGCAGCTTCGTGACTGGTACGTCAGGCGCTTTCGCCGTCCTAGTGCCTCGACTGGAGTTGGGGGTGCTGGAGCTGCTCGTCCTGGGGGTGCTCGTACTGGGGGTACTGGAGCTGCCGGGACTGGTCGTTCTGGGAGCACTACGACTGGAGCTGCTGGAGCTGGGGCCTCTGGAGCTGGCGGTACTAGTGGAGTTGGAGCTGCCGACTCTGGGGGTGCTCTTCCTAGCGGTGCTGCGGACCCTGGGGGTGGTGCTGCTGCTGGTGCTGCGGACCCACCTGGTGGAGCTGCTGCTGGAGCTGAGGACCCGAGCGGTGGCGCTGCTGCTGGTGCTGGGGACCCGGACGTTGGAGCTCCTGCTGGTGCTGAGGACCCGGCCGCTGGAGTCTCTTCTGCTTCTGGAGACGCTGCGCGGCCGCGGCCGTACTTCGTACCGCTCCTTCAGCAGGTTCTTGGGCAGGCTCCTCCTCCTTGTCCTCCTCCCTCCGTAGGGTGTCTCCCGCCTGTCCAGCCGCAGTCACAGTTACCGCCTACCTCACCTCTCCCTGCTCCCTCTCCTTACACTGGTCCCACAGGAGGTCTTACAGAGCGTCGTGAGCCTGAGTCTCGCCCTGCGTCGCCTGTTCGCACTGCTCGCACTGGTCGTCGTGTCCGTCGTGAGCGTCCTCCTCCTGTCCCTGGCACTCACTACATGACTCTGCGTCCCTCTACTGCTCCTCAGCGTGTCCCTCTACCGTCTCCTCCTGCGTCCTCTTTGCCTGACGTTCCGGACCCTGAGTCTGACCGGTATCGTGCTGAGCACCCTACTGTCACCCGTCTCCTAGCTACTGTTGTCACTGACCCTACCTTTGAGTCTTCTGCTGCGTCTGCTCTAGTCGCTGAGTTGGTTGACTTTGCTGCTGCCTGTCGTCTAGACTACGCTGCTAGTCTTGTTGCTGAGTCTGCGTCTGCGTCTGTCTGTCCTCCGTCCGTCGGGGGTGAGTGTGCTCTTGGCACGGACGTCCTTGAGGACAGGCAGGAGGACTTTGACTCTCTCGCGGCTGCTGTACCTCATCTCGTGGCCTGGTTGCTTGCCCCTGAGGGAGACCCGGATGCACTAGACATCCCCACTCCGCGCACTTACGCAGAGGCGATCTCGGGTCCCTACTCCTCTCAGTGGCAGACAGCCATGGACGCAGAGATGGCATCCTGGAAGTCCACAGGCACCTACGTCGACGAGGTTCCCCCTCCTGGGGCGAACATCGTCGATGGCATGTGGATTTTCAGGGTGAAGCGGCCGCCAGGTTCTCCGC